TGAGATGCGAGAAAGGAGTGAGATAAAAAGAGCACACCTTATCATCATTGTAAAGAGCATGCCTTATCATTATTGTAGAGAGCACAGAACGAAAAAGCAACCGTGCACCATCGACAATAATAACTTCATTACGTTTGCATTCACATCATATGATGATTCTTGTGTGGATCGTCGTCATTATCATTGTATACCTTCTCTTTAAATTTCTCAATGCTACAGATATTCCCCATATCTATGGCCTTCCAGAAGCTCCAGGATGGCCTATATTTGGAAGCTTGTTTCAATTAGGAGACAATCATTCCAAGGCTCTTTCACATATGGCTAAGAAACTTGGTCCTGTTTTTCAAATTCGCATGGGAAACAGACGAATTGTAGTAGCAAATTCATACGATTCCATCAAAGAACTCTGGATCAAGAATCAAGCTGCACTTATTAGTAGACCTGCTTTATATACATTCCACTCTGTTGTTAGCAGCAGTCAAGGATTATCGATAGGCACTTCTCCTTGGGATGAGTCATGTAAACAGCGTCGCAAGGCAGCTGCAACAGCACTGAACAAACCTGCCGTACAATCCTACATGCCAATAATCGATCTTGAATCATATACAGCAATCAATGAAATATTAAGAGAATGCGAAGATGGAAGAGCAGACATTAATATCATTCCTCATCTCCAACGATTCGCTCTTAATACTTCTCTTACCCTCAATTATGGTGCACGTATCTCTACTTCATCCAACCAACTTCTCAAAGAAATTGTTGAAGTTGAAGGAGCAGTCGCGCGATTCCGATCCGCATCCAATAACTGGCAAGACTACATCCCTCTTCTCCGACTTTTTTCTGCCAGAACCAGCGCGGCCAACTCCATCCGTCTTCGTCGCGATCGTTATCTTGGAAATCTGTTAGACAACTTGAAGAAAGAAATCGCCAATGGTACCGACAAGCCATGCATTACTGGCAACATTCTTAAAGACCCTGCAGCGAAACTTAATGAAGCTGAAATCAAGAGCATTTGCTTAACCATGATCAGTGCTGCTCTTGAGACAGTTCCGGCAAATATCATTCTCGGCATCGGGTATCTCTCGTCACCGCACGGTCAGGAGATCCAAGAGCGAGCGTACAGAGAAATTCAAGATATTTATTCTGATGGTGACGCATGGGATAGGTGTTTAACAGAAGAACAAGTTCCATATATCACTGCTCTTTATAAGGAAATTCTTCGCTACTACACCGTTCACCATATGAGTCTTCCCCGACGAAGCATCCAAGACATTAATTATAACGGAACTATAATTCCTGCTGGAACTTCATTTTATATGAACGCATTTGCTGGTGATTATGACGAAAATCACTTTGAAGATCCGTATACCTTCAATCCAGATAGATATCTTGGCGATGTGGAAGGTACACCTCATTACGCCTATGGAGCTGGAAGTAGAATGTGCATAGGAGCTCATCTAGCGAATCGAGAACTCTTTACTTTTTTTATTCGGCTCATCGTCTCATTTCGAATTCTTGAACCTCTAAACAAAGAATATGCACCAGTACTGGGCGGAATGGAAGTTAATGCTTGTCCTACGGCTCTTGTAGTCCAACCTAAGATGTTCAAATGCCGCTTCGAACCTAGGAATATGGAGGATCTCAATCTTTGGCTAGACAACAGCAGACAACGAGCAGAGAATTACTAGTGTTGATAGGTGGGATTAATTAAACAAAGGTTTAAGAACTATGTCTACCCAGTGAAAAATTCGAAAGATTGAAATCGATTAAAATTTCAATATCCTATGGGTCTAATCGAATTTTCAATTCCGATTAGATCCATAGAATATTGAAGTTTTAATCGATTTTAATCGCTCGCATTCTTCACTGGGTTGTTATCTGTTAATCTAATTCGACCTATTATTATTACTTGTTAATCCGTTCCAATTTATTATCACCTTTTAATCTACTCCAATCTATTATTACCTGTTAACCTGCTTCAATCCATTATTATTACCTGTTAATCTGCTTCAATCTATTAATAACTATTAATTTATTTCAATATTTATTACCTGTTAATCAATTTTAATCTATTATCACTTTTTAATCGATTTTAATCGTACATATTAAAGATATGCGCTTTTCTCAAGATCCGAACGTGTTATTCAAATTTTTCATGGGTTTTCTGGATAAGTCGTACTCACAAACTATGAAGTTGTCACTAAGCTAAATCCCAACAAATATAGTAAATTTGGAACTACTACATAAATTATTTCAAATTGAGATGGTGTAATTACATCAGAAATTGATTAAAATCGATTAAAAATTTAAAAAACGGATTTAAATTAATAAAAATATTTTAATCGATTTTAATCAACATCTTGAATATTTTTACCTTTTTCTATGTAATACTTCTGTGTATATAAAATGCTTTTTGTTATTTGTATCTACACAGATTTACTCATCTCATGCGTCTCCAGTTTATGAAGATAGTCAGTTTCACTTTATTACTACCATTTGGAATCGATAGAACATGATTCATATTTCAGATGAACACGCTATTAATAAAGAGCAATTTAAGCCGGATTTTTTTTAAACAAAAAAAAACAGTCATTATTTTCTATCTTGAAAATTCAATTTACTAAGAATCACTAACATACATGTCACTCAGGGTTAAGTATAGCAAGAGCAGTTGTTTTACTTCAATCATTGGTTAATGATCAGCAGTATATTTGACAAGTATAAACCGTTGTTAGATTGTTGTCTCGACTGAAATTGAAATTATGTTTCTTCTTGTTTCGTTCACATTATCATCATGACCATCATGTGTATAACGAGAAAAAAAATCAAATCAATGATGTACTTGTTCATTTTTTCGTTCTTGTTAGAAAGAGAAAAAGCAAGGTTCTTTACAATAAACAACGTATGAGACGAGGTATCTAATGCAATAACATTGAAGTTATCGCACACATGGCAAATAAATACTAGTCGAAAAAAAATAATCATAAAATAAATGACGTTAATGATTTTATTCTTTTCATTTGTCGTTTACAACGATATTTTCGATTGAAACTAGATAATGTTTGTCCTTGAATGTCAACACAAAAAAACAAAAATTACTCACATGTGACGTGGTAGATGAATCTAGAAAAAGAATTACGCACATCGAATGTATAAATAAAAAAAGGTGAAGTTAGTGGCGTATCTAGAACAGTGGCGACTCGCTGGCGGTGAGGTGGCAGTGGAAGGTGGCGCCACTCTTTTTTTGCTTTTAATTTTTTAACTAAATGTTATGAAGACCTGGAATTTTTATCCATAATCTAGCCCTAAAATGTAGTATATATGATAAAAATTTTAGGCTTCCATAACATTCAGTTTAAAAGTTACAAGCAAAAAAAGAGTGGCGCCACCTTCCACTGCCACCTCACCGCCAGCGAGTCGCCACTGTTCTAGATACGCCACTAGGTGAAGTCTGTACAAGTAGCAATTTATTATTCAATCATACTCCGTATTGATTAAGAGCAATATTACTTCTCAAAATGAGTGTACAACGAAGACGACATACGGCTGAAAATTATTTGGTCATCTGGGTCGATGACCATATCGATATAGCAAGTGAAGACTGTCAATATACTCTTGCTCGATTACGCGAAATTGTCAATCAAGTAAATATTTGTAAAACGGTAGAAGAATGTATTCAATGTCTCCAGGAAAATAACGAAGAGATATCATTTGTTATCTCATCTGGTACACTTGGACAACATCTTCTACCAGATATTAATGGCATGTCAAACTTAGATGCCGTTTACATTTTTTGTCGCGATAAGAAACGTCACAAAGCATGGGCCAAAAATTGGACAAAAATAAAAGGTGTCCATGCTACAATCAAGTCCATATGCAAAGCATTGCAAATAGCTGTGCAGCAATGCAATCAAAATACTACATAGATAAGCATTATTGGTGCGAATGAAATTAGCTCTAGCAAAAATCTCAATCAGCTAGAACCGACCTTTATGTATACACAAATATTCAAGGAAATCCTCCTCGATATGCAGCATGACCAAGAAGCCATTAAAGACTTGGTCCAGTTTTGCCAAGAATTATACCAAGGCAATGCCAAAGAACTCAAACTAATTGATGAATTTCAACGTAGTTATCAGCCAACATTGGCCATTTGGTGGTACACCCGCGACTGCTTTACATACAAAATGCTTAATGCAGCATTACGAACATTGGATGGTGATATTATCATCCGAATGGGATTTTTCCTATGTGATGTGCACCGACAAATTCAAGATTTACACCACAAACAGGTTAGTTAGTATCGTGGGAACTCATTTATAGTTTATAGGGGCCAAGGGTTATTGATATCACAATTCGAAAAGCTCTCAAAAAACAAAGGTGGTCTAATATCGTTCAATAATTTTTTATCCACTAGTACAAATCGAAATGTCTCGCTAAGCTTTGCCAAGCATTCTTTGCACACAATCGATATGGTTGGTATCCTTTTCCAAATAACCATAGATCCCACGGTCTTAACAACTCCTTTCGTCTCCATCCGAGAGGAGAGTTATTACAAGAAAGAAGAGGAAATTCTCTTCTCTATGCACACAGTTTTCCGAATTGGTGACATTCGAAAACTTGACGAGAAAAATCCACTTTATGAAGTGGACGTTAAACTTACATCAGATGATGACCAACAACTTCGTCAACTAACCGATCGTATACGAGAAGAATCTTTAGGTAGCACTGGATGGCATCGAATGGGTAAATTGCTGCTCAAAATAGGTCAATTCAACAAGGCTGGAGAATTGTATATCGCGCTGCTAGAACAGGCATCCAACGACAGTGACAAGGCATATATCTATCACGAGCTTGCATGTGTGAAAAAGGACCGAGGAGAATACACAGAAGCAGCTTCATTTTTCGAAAAATTTCTCAAAATCCAGCGTAAAACTCTTCCGGAAGATCATCCTTCATTGTCTCCTTACTACAACAACATCGATCTACTGTATAACAGCATGGGTGACTACTCGAAAGCGCTTGAAGTTTACGAAAAAGCACATAAAATTAAAGAACAAGCTCTGCCTTCGACTCATCCTGATTTGGCTACTTCTTACAACAGCATCGGTCAAGTGCATAACAACATGGGTGACTACTCGAAAGCACTTGAGTTTTACGAAAAATCACATCAAATCGTCGAAAAAGCTCTGCCTCCGAATCATCCCGATTTGGCTCTTTCTTACAACAACATCGGCCAAGTGTATAACAGCATGGGAAACTACTCGAAAGCACTTGAGTTTTACGAAAAAGCACATGAAACCTTCGAAAAAGCTCTGCCTCCGACTCATCCCTCATTGGCTACTTCCTACAACAACATCGGTGGGGAGTATAACAACATGGGTGACTACTCTAAAGCACTTGAATTTTACGAAAAAGCACATAGAATTAAAGAACAAGCTCTGCCTCCGACTCATCCCGAGTTGACGCTTTCCTACAACAACATCGGCCAAGTGTATAACAACATGGGTGACTACTCGAAAGCACTTGAATTTTACGAAAAATCACATGAAACCTTCGAAAAAGCTCTGCCTCCGAATCATCCCAATTTGGCTACTTTCTACAACAACATCGGTCAAGTGTATAACAAAACGGGTGACTACTCGAAAGCACTTGAATTTTACGAAAAAGCACATATAATCTTCGAAAAAGCTCTGCCTCTGAATCATCCATTATTGGCTACTTCCTACGACAACATCGGTCAAGTGTATAACAACATGGGTGACTACTCGACAGCACTTGAATTTTACGAGAAAGAGGTCGAAATCACGAAAAAGGCTCTGCCTTCGAATCATCCCCATTTGGCTGTTTCCTACAACAACGTCGGTCAAGTGTATTACAACATGGGTGACTACTCGAAAGCACTTGAATTTCATAAGAAAAATCTTAAAATCAAAAAAAAAACTCTGCCTCCAAATCATCCCGACTTAGCTTTTCCATACAACTGGTTCGGAAGAGTTTATCGCGCTATGAAGAACTACTCAAAGGCACTTGAAAATTTTGAAGAGGCCCTTGCAATACGTCAAAAAACGTTACGTGAAACACATCCCAATCGAGCCATTACATATAGTGATATTGGTGATGTTCATCGATTAATGGGTAATTATGAAAGGGCACTTTCATTTCATCGAAAAGCATTAGATATTCAAGAAAATGTTCAATGCAATCCTCTGGAATGTGCAACGACATATACAAATTTTGGTGAAACTTATCGACAAATGAAAGATTATTCAGCAGCATTGACATATTTTCAAAAAGGATTAGAAATACGTGAAAAGAAACTACCAAAAAATCATCCTGATTTAGCTGTAATATATCACAATATGGCAAAATTATATTTGTCTACTCGACAATACAGTATGGCAATGAAAAATATTCAACAAGCATTAGAAATTGCTCAAGAAAAGTTACCTTCAAATCATCCTCATCTTTTGGATTATAGAAAAACATTTGAGGAAATTCAAAAGAACTTGTAATTTTTTTTTTGTTTTTCGTTTGCTCAATAAATTTGTTTGAATTTTCATTCGTTCACTTTCATGTACACGCGTGCGCGCGACCAGGGAGAGGCTCCGTAAGGATGCTACAGGCGCACACAGAGCGGACCACACCGAACTGATAGGGCAATGAACGTAAGTGTGTCGTACATAATGACGACAGGGATCTACGAACATCGAAGGCCTTCACGAGTACTACATTGCTATCTCCATAGCAGTACAAACAGTTTCTCTCGCCTGAGTCAGATTACAAAGCCATCTGACAGGCTGTGATATAAATTGGTATGTATCTCCTAACATAAATAACATAGACTTTGAACAATAATGTACACTAAAATGTGTACAATAACGGGAAAAAAATATATTTCATCCGAAGTAAATCATCTACATCTGATTCTAAGATTATGGCAAGTATTATTATTAAAATTTAATTTAGAATTGTTCTCCCAAGTAAAAAAGAATTTTTCTTATCTTTCAACTGTTTATTTGTTCGTTCTAGTCTTTCTCAAGATAAATAAGATAATTTCGAAGCAACATACGCATTCGTGTCATTGGTACACACATCAATTATAAATCATGTACTTTTTATTATTCTCATATTCTCATAAATTCATATAATTCAACAAGCAAATGAATTTTTAAATCATCATAGAATAAATTTCATCATAAATCAATGTATCCTAACATATATTATCATTGAAATCAAAAACATTGTAAAAACAAATTAATCATAATATAACATCATTGAATGAATGAATTTTATTGTAAAATTAATGCATTGTAAAGAAATGAATTTAAATAACATCATTCAATAAATTTCAAAAATAATACATTTTAAGATGATACAATTCAATGAATATCATTGTAAATTAATACATTTTTATACAATATCATTCAATGAATATCATTATAATTTAATGCATTGTAGCATAATGTCATACAATAAGTTTCATTGTAAATCAAAACATTTTAATACATCATAAATTAATAAATTTCATCATAATAAACGATAAGATAACAGTGGCTTTGTATAACATTGTAAATTTTTTTTTACTTTCGAATAAATAGACAATAATTCAACGTTTCGATGATCTATGTCACCATTTTCAACATTTATTAAGGTCTCAGAAAAAATTGTACATTTAGTAATGAGCAGAGTAGAAGAAGGGAACAAGAAAAAGAAAAGGAAAAAAGAAAGACAAAAAAATGAAAGATACAATAATGAATAACTTTAAGTTTCCTTAATGACTAGAGTTAGGTAGCAGAACTCTCGATAGACCATCAGGAAAAACAAGTAATGGTACCGGATGTGTGGTTTCATTGAATTTTGATTCATAAGTCTTGATCAATGACGATTCCTTAATTAACAAACGATAAAAATGATTGTCGTGACATATTACCCGAAAGTTAATCCAGTCCATATGATGACCTGTTTCTTTTTCATGTTGCGTAATTGAGGGTGTGGGGGTGGGTGTGAGTTCTAATCTTCGCTTCACCCACACCCACACCCACACCCGTGAAATTCTGCATCCAAATTTGCATCAATTTTGAAAATTCAATATGCACTTATTTCACATCTTATGCGTCATCACCCTTTCGTGCCGAAGAACATGACGAACAAAAAACATTTTTTCTTTTTTTTAAAAATGTTTTGATGTTGAAGGGCTGGCTCACGATTCTCAGAATATTTTCACCAGTTAGAGGCCACTATTGGCTGGAAAAAATGAAGGAAAAAATTGAAAATGTTTGACGACATAGAATTTGCATACAATTTTGATCCTACTTCCTTTATGCACATCGAAGCGTATGCTCAAATAATGCTTAAGTGTAGAGATGCAGAATTGTGTAAACATTTCAGCGAAGAGAAAAAAAATACAAATTCCGCGAAAAGACAGCTGAATAATTTTTGTCATTTTTTGTCTATCAACTTCCGTCGGCACTTCCGAGAGCCATGACTGGCGAAACAATCATGAATCGCTGTTAAAAGGTAGTATAAAAGAATGGTTGCTTATAACGTTGATACGCTCAAAAACGATGTCTGCTATTGTACGAAGTAATACAATCGAATTTAAACCATTCGGTGTAAAGGTGGATGTACCGGAAAACGATGTCGGTCGACTCATGTATTATTTGAGTTGTGTATGTACGGCAATTGATTGTAATAACGATGCTGATATTCAACGTTTCACAGACTATAAAAATTGGAATAGATTATCTGTCGATGAGCAGAAAGGTCTCGTTGTTCTCTGTGCTGCATTCAGTCCGGACGTGCTCAACAACAAGGTCTTTTTTCAAAGTGATGAGCTTTGTGGTAATTTTAGTAATGAGTTTTACGAAATCAATCAAATACAAAATCAACTGTTGGTGGTTGAATCAATTATTATTGCCGGACAAAAAAGACAAGTTAACAAGATTATGACATACAAAATGCAATGGTTGCAACAATACTATATTGGTCCCATTCAAAGGCTAACATCGAGATTCAGGTCTTCAGCTTCTGCTGTTACCTCCTCGCGGTCTACTACTTCTGCACAACCTGTTACGTATACGCCATATAAGACTTCTACCCAGTCTAATACTTATAAGCAACCTGTTGTAGTCAAGTCGAGCAATTCGAAGAACTGTGTATACATCTGGTGTTGTATTTGCTGTTTTCTATTAGTTGTCATCCCTACCATAATTGGAATCGTTGTTTCTATTGTTAATTCGAAAAAATAAAATCTCCCCTCCCTTATAATTATCATATATGCGTGGAACTTTTTCAAATAAAATCTCTGCAGTTGAAGTCTACCTTCATTTTTATCTGATGCAAATTTCCATCGTAACTTACGCGGAGGGGTGTGGATGTGGGTGTAAGGCGTTCCTGTGAGTGAGTGCAACTAGTCAGTATTCACACCCCAGATCCATACCAATCCACCAGAAGACTAAAAATAGAAGTAGATCATTTTACTTGTGGGTAATACTTTTAGATATTTGAACTAAATTTGTCAGCGTCATCAGTCAAAGTTATAGAAACATCATTAGCAGAATGAGACTCAAAAAATCGTATTTGTCACCAATGAGAATTTTAAAAAAATAGCTTTATTTTCTTCAGTGTCCCTTCCTCAACAAACAATACATCTTTTGGGAAAAAAAATTAATTTCTCAATAACAAAATTACTGAGATATAAACAAAATATGACAGGGTAAATCATGCAAACGGTATATACACACATTAACCATAATCGATCGAATATTTACAAAACCTGTTTTTTTGCGTTGTATCTTAGAATTTTATAAACGGTTTTCAATGGCATGGATATTCCATCCGACGAGGGTGTGGATGTGTGGGGTGCGTGTGTGTGAGTGTGAATACCGACTAGTTGCACTCACTTACAGGAACGCCTTACAACCACACCCACACTCTCATTGATTTCGTTCATTTTAACGTTCTTGAAAATCGTGTATGTATGATTTACAGAGTTACCTATTGTCCATTTCAGAGTGAAGTGGCTATGAGCTTTTTTTAAATAACTTTAAAATAATAAGAGACAAATAACTCGAGTTTTTAGCACTATCTAGAGTCAACATTGTTCTCTCGCTTTTTACGAAGTCGATGGAAAATTTCAGTCACTTTTCTTCTTGGTTCAAAATCTAAGTAGCTAACTAAATATTCTTTTCTACAAGTTCTTAGTCACCTTTAATTTCTTGACATGATTTAGTAACCTTTGAAATTTTTTTTTCTTCTAGAAATATCATCAAAAACCATACATTAAATTTATTTTGATGCTAATAAATCAATATCTTAAATTAGTTCTCCTCAATCTTTATTTTGTTGGTATTTTCATAGCAAAAATTTTCCGAATCCAAATCGAGCAACTGAAAAGAATTTTTGGTTGTTCACATGAATTCATCATAATAGTCATTAATCATTAGCATCATGTTTACTATAGCTGCTATAATTATCGTCGTTATGATTATTTAATTCTCCTTCAATCTGTTCGACATAAATATCAGCCCTTTTAAATGTTTCTTCATATTATTTTATATGGTTGATGGAATGGGTTGCTTCCGTCACACCTAAGCCATAGATCCATTTCTTGTGCTAATTTGCTCATGAAAGATTCATATTAGACTTCCCAAAAATCATCAATCATCATTAGAAAAAAATCGACATCATAGACATGGTGAACAAACTTCTTAAAATCATTTCGCTAAATGAAGACATTACGAAAAATCGAAACATCATACTCCAATTATTCTCATCAACAGCAACACAACTATACTACAAAAAAAAGCCGGGTTCCCTTCCACTACATACCACAGACACTCAGCAT